GCCAACTTTGGGAGCTAGGAAAGAGTCTAGCAGGACCTCCTTGCGATTGTTTCGCTAAATTAACCTCAGGGTAATCGACTGGACCACATTGTGTTTATGGTTGCTGTCTGCACTTACGTAAGGATCTCCAGACCATAAGAGCTCCCTCGACAAGTCTGTCATAGTCCTGTAAAATCAGAGTGATCTCGCGTGACCTAGTTCGGACGTCAGCCATTCACCAAGCCGGTGGTAAATTACCGGAATGTGAGGCTGACTTCATGGCACTAAAATGGTCCCACATGGTCCAGAGAACGCCCAATTCCGGATACCAACAGGTGTAAATCTTGACCCTGAAGCATCTTGAAGCTTGAAAAGTATTTCCTGAATTGATGCAAAACGCTTCATCAGAACTAAACTGGTCATACACTGTGCGCAATACTACGGCTTTAGCCCCATACCTCAGTGGTGGTTCGGTTCAGACCACAATTTGGGTGCTCTCATTTTCACCCAATCAAACAGCCTCAAAACAAACTGTACGCAATTTACTTTTTGTCCGTGGCTGCGCACCTGCATTCCTTATGTCCATTGATCACCTGTGAAGTCGCATTGACTGCATTGTGATGCAGTGAAAGACAGGCCAAACTAGAAACTGGCTGCTGTGGGCTACATCTCGCTCAGTGACCCTTCTATTATGTGGAGAAAACGCGTCGTAGTGCTTGGTTGGTCAATACCCGTTAGGCGCAATTTCGTTCACGTACCCATGCTTCCTTTGGACCCGTGCGCTATTGCTGCTGGGAAGCAAAAGTTGATTGGAGTGGCAAGCGGTGAACTAAGATTGCATTGCTTTTGCGTGTTTTGCACACATACACATGGCGTGCCTATGATTCCAGCTCGTTTCAATGTGATCTTGAAAATAGCATCTGTAGGATGCTGCTTTACAGTACAGGTAAGGCAAACAGTACAGACAAGGCACTTCAGTACAGACAAGGCAGACGTACTGCAGAACTCAGCACAGATAAGACAAACGTACTGCTGAAGTACTCAACTTCCCCGCCCACGCCTGACGTATGTATTTGGTTTTAACCATGCCGACCTCGTGGAGACTTCTCAAGTCCAAAGAAAAGTTGCATCCCTGAGGAGAATGTCCGAGCCTGAGGTCGGTCGCATCACCACCGCATCGCACCGCAGCCGACCTCCCTGAGCGTGACACTCAGCCGGGTCCCACAGCCCGCGCCACCGGCAGCTGCCGGGACTTGGCCAGGGGACGGACGGTGCAGGTGAACCCGCCTCCAGCACGTCGTGCCCTATCTCCGGCACCGGGCGACCTCGCCCCTCGGCGGCCGCCGCTCGGCCGGACGGCCAGGTGGTGCACGCCGGGGGCGCTCTCTCAGCCATGCCAGCCGCGCGACGGACACGGGCCAGCCACACGGCCGGCCCGTCCGTCAACAATGCCCACCCCTTCCCCGCAACTCCGCCTATACTGTACCAGTGGGGGAGCCAAACGAAGCCAGGTGACTGTGGTGCCGTATTCAGGAAGTTATTTATGCAACGAATCTTTTTGAAATTTCCGAAAGAAAAGGAACGTTTGGCTGACTGTGCTCTCTTTTGAATGTTAAAGATCTGAGAGAGATCCTCCGCACGCCTTCGACGCTTGCCATGTATCGAAAGAGGGGGTCTCGCACCCCTCCTAGCCCAGTGTACCACCGTCCGGTGCCGTTTGGACGTAAGTGCCCTGGTTCGTTCCGTTATGCCTGACGCCAGTAGGCCGTCCGTGATGACCCAGAACCGCCCGACGTAATGGCCTAGAACCGCGGCCGGCCCGCCTTGCTCCCAGCCCCTGTACCGCACAGACTGAGGAGCGGGGGCCTCGGTGGCGCACGGCCCGCCGGCTTCCCGTGAGGCTTGAACGCTCGCCGCCCACGTGCGATACTTTGTCCCCGTCCTCCAGGTGCGGCGACACCGGCCGAGCTACTGGGTGACGCAGTTGAATAGCATTTGTCGCCTGAGGAAAGCACATGACAGCACATTCTCTTGCTATGCGACAGCGACTCGTCGAACTACAGCACGGCAGTTGCAGTGGCATCCTCAACTGTATATACCAATGTCAAGAAATAGTCGGATTCAAAACGTCTCGATGCTTTCACTTTTTGTATCGCCGTCACGCCCTGCCGCACCGCGCCGGCCCCCCGGTGAAGAGCCCGCCTAGCAGCTCACCTCAAGGCCGGCCCCGTGGACCGGTCCACCGGTTTGGGTGGGGCCGCCAGGTCGTCCTCGCGGCTCCTCCTTCCGCCCGCAGACGGTGATCCCAGGCGGAGATGGCGCCGCCCGCCAACAGCCGGCTGGAACGCTCTTCAGACCCTCCGGAATCGAGCGGACGGTGGTCAGATGTTGGCAATCCGTGTGAATTGGTATGGGTGCTGGCTTCATTCCAGCGTAGATGGTCGTCATTCCGATATGCTTTTTAGAGCGGCAGATTCCAGCCACGCACTGTGTTACATCCTCCAAGCATTCCGATAATGTAGTGTCAAAGCGATGGAAGGAGGCCATGGTTCCCTGACAAGGACTATAAACATGATGAGCTGGCACCGCCATTTGTCTTGTTCAGAAAAGCACATATTCTATTTGCTTGCTCGGTGGTGCCCAGTCGTCTGGCCTAATTAGAGTCAAATTGAATAAACTAGACTAGTGATGCATGCTGGCTTTTGGAACGCGCAGTCGTTGATAATCGCAATATTAATAATCGCAATATAGTAATCGCAATATAATCGCAATCATCGTTGATAATCGCAAACAATTCGAGAAGATTTCCTTGCACATTAAACGACCGTCGAACCATATTTTAATCGACACAAACGTGCATTTTAAATATACGCGCATAATTTATGCTGGGAACACGGCCTAGCATGCATTGCCTTTGCATCTGGCCAGCTGCTCTCCATGCGACGGTGTTCGTCCGGTGTTGATGGGATGAGGCCGAAGGCGAGTAAGACTCGCGTTCTTGTCGAAGGTCAGCCTGTTCATACTCAGCACTTTCTCAGAAGAGCAGGTGATGATGCACCATCACTGCAGGCGGTCTGCCGATAGTTAAGTCGGTTTAATCCAGGTCCAACGGCCGTTAGTCACAGGTCGCAAAAGGGCGGCTCCGGCCACGCGCGTATGAAACCTGAGGTCAAGCTGGTGGAGAAACCTGACCTGAAAGGTCACCGCTCAAGTCTTACTGCTGCGGTGGATGCCGCGGGTGGGCAAGAAACAGGCTGACGCATTGGACAGGATCAGGAGTACGGAAGGGTGCACTGCAGAGGTATACGCTATACTCTTACCGCTGAGGTAAAGAAAATTCGCATGCGACCTGCGAATACATCGAATAAAGAGCAACACCGTCGCAATAAATGAATCCTGGGCGACATTTTATAATCGACGTGGAAGAGATAAAGCAAGCGTGCAATTTTGCAGCGAAGAGGGCCGCATCCACGCTAGTCGAATACAGGCCTCGATCGACACCAAGTTTGGCAAGAACTTTGTGGAGAAGACACGTTTCTTGTTATGAGCTACATATTCTTGGCGTCTTGGTGCAGCACGCAAGGTTCCATCCACTGCCGTTCGTTTCGTAAGCTCGACACCCTGAAGAGGCTAAAAACATCACTCTAGCTCAAACTCGCACCGCAAAATGTAACTGACTCAAAATAATTGCATGAGCGTGAAAGACCGGTGGCCATGGGCACCCCGGTTATCTGCCAACCTCGATCTGGTGAGCCCATTCACCAGAAAGCAGCCGAGCACGCGATATCTCTTCCAGACGGCCTTAGATGAGGGAGCAATACCGATGTCTAAGGCATACTAATGACGACAGATCATTTGATACCGGAGTGTGGTTCAATACATTGCACATGCATCTGCAAAATCAGACCATCACTTTAGCCTGATTACACACAGCCACGAGCAGGGGCGTAAATTCACGAAATGAGCTGAGGGGGGGGGGGGAGGGGCGATGAACAGTCAAATTGACCAAGCTTCTCACAAAGCTATGGCAGTAAATAAGCTTCCCGTGTTTTGCCCACTTTCTTCTCGAAGTTAGGAGTGGAGCTCAAGTTCATCCGCCGCCCCCCCCCCCCTCACACACACACTGAATAGGAAACTACAACCCTGACTCCGGCCGCGCCACCAGCAGAGTTCTGAGGCCAGTGAATGGCATCCGCTGCGCCGGCCCGTCGGGAGGTGGTCCCTGCCGGCCCCATGGGCCGCTCTCCGGCCCGTCAGGAGATGGTCCCTGCCGGCCCCATGGGCCGCTCTCCGGCCCGTCGGGAGATGGTCCCTGCCGGCTCCATGGGCCGCTCTCCGGCCCGTCAGGAGATGGTCCCTGCCGACCCCATGGGCCGCTCTCCGGTCCGTCGGGAGATGGTGCCTGCCGGCTCCATGGGCCGCTCTCCGGCCCGTCGGGAGATGGCCCCTGCCGGCTCCATGGGCCGCTCTCCGGCCCGTCGGGAGATGGTGCCTGCCGGCTCCATGAGCCGCTCTCCGGTCCGTCGGGAGATGGTGCCTGCCGGCCCCATGGGCCGCTCTCCGGCCCGTCGGGAGATGGCTCCTGCCGGCTCCATGAGCCGCTCTCCGGCCCGTCGGGAGATGGCCCCTGCCGGCTCCATGGGCCGCTCTCCGGCCCGTCAGGAGATGGTCCCTGCCGGCCCCATGGGCCGCTCTCCGGCCCGTCGGGAGATGGTGCCTGCCGGCCCCATGGGCCGCTCTCCGGCCCGTCGGGAGATGGTGCCTGCCGGCCCCATGGGCCGCTCTCCGGTCCGTCGGGAGATGGTGCCTGCCGGCTCCATGAGCCGCTCTCCGGCCCGTCGGGAGATGGTCCCTGCCGGCTCCATGAGCCGCTCTCCGGCCCGTCGGGAGATGGTCCCTGCCGGCTCCATGAGCCGCTCTCCGGTCCGGTCGTCTGTAGTCACGTGCCGTCCTCGGTCCCTGCGGCTGCAGGGCGTGGTCGCCCGGTCCGGGCACCGCCCTATAAAACCGGACGGGCCCCTCTCAGCGGCACACACTCACCCAGCCGAGTTCAGCCATGAAAGTCCTGGTGAGTGGTCCGTCCGCCGGAGGTCCCCCCCCCCGCCGTTTGTCCACCGGAGCAGCCCAGGCATCCATAACGTTCGAGTATCTGGACACTAGCGCTAGTTTTTAAAGACTCGTTCATTTGGAAAACCCGGTGCAGAATATATCATTACTAGAGAAGCAGCAAGGTTGTAAACGTTCAAATCAGGGGTTCAAAAACTCCCCTTAACGGATTTCAGCCACGGAGTGATTTACAAAACTATATTTGCTCGTCCTTGACCATATTTGTTGTTTATTTTACCTTTACATTTTCAAAAACTTTGTGAGCTTCAGTTGCATTTTGTCCTGAAGCCACAACAAGTTGTTTTCATGGTCCCATGAAATCACTGGCTGACATCACTGGCTCAGAATTGTGCCCTTATCTGCCTCATCTATCTCACTCCCTGCGAGGCGGCCCGCTGTCCCAGCGCTCCGCCTCCGGATTATTCTTCCTGTCCCGGCGTCCCTCTCTACTTCAGGCGTGGCTTCACCGCCCTGTGCGTCCATCCCAGACTTGGTCTCACTGCCCCATGCGTCCGTTTCAGACCTGGTCCCACTGTCTCCGTGTGTCCGTCTCAGACCTGGTCCCACTGTCCCAGCGCCAGCTTCAGCACGGGATCGTCATGACCTCCCCTCCCCCTCTCCCTGCCGCAGGTCGTGTTGTCTGCCCTGGCGGCGATCGCCACCGCCCAGTACCTGCCGTACGCCAACTTCGGCTACGCTGGCTACGCTGGCTACCCTGGCTACGCTGGCTATGCGGGCGCGTACGGCCTCAACCTGAGGAGCTACGCCGCCCCGATCGCCTACGGCTCGCAGTACCACGCCCAGGACACGTTCGGCGGCTACCACTACGGCTACGCCGACGGCCTCTCCAACAAGGTGGAGACCCGGCGTGCTGACGGTACCACCGCCGGCTCCTACAACTACGTCGACGCCGAAGGCCAGGTGCAGACCATCTCCTACACGGCCGGCGCCAACGGCTTCCAGGTGGAGGGCACCAACCTGCCCGTGGCCCCCGTCGCCAACCTGAAGGCGCCCGTCCACACCCTGGTGGGACCGGCCCCCGTCCAGGACACGCCCGAGGTGCAGGCGGCGCGCGCCGAGTTCACCCGTCTGTTCGCCGAGGCCGCCTCCCGCACGCGCCGCTCGGCGCCCGAGCCTGTCTCCGACACCCCGGAGGTGACCGCTGAGAAGGCCCGCTTCCGCGCCCTGTTCGCCGAGGCTGCCGCCGCCGCCGAGGCCGGCGCCACCCCCGTCGCCTCTTACCTGGCCGACACCCCCGAGGTGGCCGCTGAGAAGGCCCGCTTCGAGGCTGCCTTCAAGACGGCCGAGGCCCGCGCCGCTCTCCCCCTGACCTACGCCGCTCGCCCTCTGGCCTACAACGGTCTGCCCTACGCTGGTCTGCCCTACGCCGGTCTGCCCTACGCCGCCCCCTTCGCTGGCTTCAACCGTTTCTTTTACTAAACTGCGCATTTTTTTGAACTGAGTTCTCTTGTGAAATTGTTTTGACCTGGTCTTCCGTCTGAATCTCGTGCCGGTTTTTGTGCTGGTGTGTCCTTGAAAGCTCATGTGTATGTCCATATACCATGGCAACTGTCATGAAAATACACCTTGGTATATTTTCACACATGATTTAGCGAAGAAAACTGCGGAATGGCTGAGGAACTCGAGATGGCGAATAACGACAGGAGACAGGAAAAGACAATGCAAGGCGACATCGGCACACGTGAGGAAAACGTGGTAGCCATACGCAGACTAAACTGTCTTTAAACCACTCATATTGTGGCTTCCGGATGATGCAATTCTGGCAAGTTACGGAAGACGGTGTCTGTACTTTGCCTGATTGTTTGCGTGTTCTGGCACAGAAAGTCTGCACACTAAAACTGCTGATTTTTCCGCCATGCGCCTGAGAGGGAAGCCATTTTGCCGGTGCCCCGCCGACCGAGCATGGCTGCCCTGTCGCTCCACCGCCAGGCCATGTCCCGCCTCACCGTGTAACTGAGGTCAGACCTGCTCCGGCCGCGGCACAGCCTGCTGCGGTCTTCGCAAATCACGCGTGAGAGCACCGAAAGGAAGCTGCGGAAACGACCGTGCGCGCCTATGGCCGCTACAAGCCAGACTTGCAATGCGTAAAAGCAATGCATTTACTTTATGACCAAAACACTTATATACAGGCAGTACGGCATCAGGCATTAGGCATCCAAGCACAAAGCCACCGAGCATTCCAGCACTCAAGCCTCACGGCACAAAGCACTCGGCTCGAACAACGTATGGTCGCGAAGCTCAGGCCGACGGCAGTGTAACGAGCGGACGCCAGGGACATGTGAGGCGTTCCCTGCTGGAAATTAGGACGGACTAGGCTGGTGACCGACTGCTCTGTCTGTGTGTGTCCGTCCGAGTCGACGATTGCTCTGCCTGTGTGTTTCCGTCCGAGTGGCCGATTGCTCTGTGTGTGTCCGTCCGAATCGCCCCTCGGTCTGCCTGTGTGTGTGTCCGTCCGAGTCGACGATTGCTCTGCCTGTGTGTTTCCGTCCGAGTGGCCGATTGCTCTGTGTGTGTCCGTCCGAATCGCCCCTCGGTCTGCCTGTGTGTGTGTCCGTCCGAGTCGCAGATTAGTTTGTCTGTGTGTGTCCGTCCGTGTTGCAGATTAGTCTGTCTGTGTGTGTCCGTCTGAGTGGCCGATTGGTCTGTGTGTGTCCGTCCGAGTGGCCGATTGGTCTGTGTGTGTCCGTCCGAGTGGCCGATTGGTTTGTCTGTGGGTGTCCTTCCGAGTGGCCGAATGACCTCTTGGCGTGTCAGCGACGCGCAAGAGATTAAACAAACAGATGGCATTAAGCCAATAGCCTATATCAATGCATCGATGGCTTATATATATACGTCCAGGCCAGATTATATAAAATCCGGTCCACGTAAAACGGGCTTTCTTGCTCGCTCAGAGTACGAACAAGTGCCGTTGTCCCTTGATGTGACATCTGTTAAGCAATGTCCCTGAAACGACATGAGGCCACTATAACAATTCATTATATCATAATACAGAATTTTGATATAATTGTCATCACTGGCCGCAGTTTTGATGTGACTAGCAGCAATTTTGTATTAAGGGGGTGTCTCGGGCTAGTACCCCGTTGAAATAGTTTTGCGAAATAAAGATGTTGCATTCAATTAGCGGGCGGATCTGACCTTGCCATTTACCAAGTGTGTTTGGCAGGCTTGAAACGTTGCACTGTAACGTTTGCACTACAACGCCGTCTAACCAGTGCCTCCCGGCAGAGGCGGCGCCACCGAGTTTTGACAGGGGGGGGGGGGCGAGGTTGTTAAGTCATTACGACACTTGAACACAATAAACTGGGCGATATTCAAGCGCTTAGTAGCTGGTGTTCTCCATAAAAGATCATTGTCATGCAAATTTCTCATGTGCTTTGCGCTGCACCACTGGAAGGCGTGGGACGCGGAAACCGTGGAGTGGGGCGAGAACTGATACCCATATAACTTTCTGAGAACTTAATATTTGCCCTGTGGGTGTTAACTATAAAGAAATACTAAAAATGACTATACCTAAATGGCTTAGCTGTCTCTCCCCTTATCTGGCGATAGAGGGGGCCATCCACGTCCCCCCGCCGTTGGTGCCGCCCCTGCCCACTGGCCGCTACCTCAGCATAAAAACTCTACATAAGCCGTAACATTGCGACCCAAAGGCATCACACGGCGACGGCATCCTGATGACACTAGGAACTTAACAACCAAGACCCAGGCTTCGAATTTACCTTGTCGCAACCATGCTGTAGCATTTCAAACTACTGATGCACGTGTGCCTTCTCCGCAAGCCTTTTACAACTTAAATCGCTGCTAACGTACTTCGTTTACCACCTTCTTGTATCATCAGTTTTCTCGCAACTTACACATGCGAATGATGCTTGAAAATGCGAAAACGCTTTCTTGCGAATGAGCCTAGGAACTGCTGTTCACGTACTGCTGCTCACCGCAGATTTGTCAGTGTTGAGGGTAACGAGTGCCCAACTGCTTGCGTCAACAGCCGATGGAGAATGAAGGGGAAAAACATCGTCGTCGGTGTCTTTTTTCATAAAGCTTTCATAGTTCATTTCATAGCTCTGAGTTTGTCTCCAGATGACTGCTACATCCCTACGCTGTGTCGCGCCCACGTAAACAAGTTGTGACGTCGAGTCCATAACTTCTTCCGGTCGGCTCCAAAATTAGCTCAACGAGCGGAAGCTTGGGTTTGAATACATTGCTATCGCGAGCCTCTCCGCCACGCCTGTGAGCATGTCCCTTTCGCCGCTCTGATCCATATGCGGCACTCTGAAGTCCGCACAAACGGCCGAAATGGTTGACGCGCCTCCAGACTCCAGCCACCTTGAATAGAGCCTTTAAAATCTGGGTGTATTCCGTCCAGCTTAGTGGGTGAACAAAACATGCACGGCATTAATGGCTACATCTGGTTGTACTGGTCATCGGCGAGCTCGCCCACATCCGCGGCGGCACCCTTTCATCTTAGACCGGAAGGAGTTCACTTCCGGCCCGCACACCGAGCCCGACGCCCCCAGCACGGCAACGCTAGTGAAACGCAACGCTAAAAGGTCCTCGTCTGGAAACACTCATCGACGCGCGTATGTACAAATGAACGGAGACGAGGGCTTGCGCACGGCTCGGCAACTCCGGGCGAATGGTCACTCATGCGGGGCCTCTCCCACACCGACGTCCATAAATACACACAAACATCGATATAACCGCGGCCGGCGCGCGCCCGCCAACGCGCGAGGTCGCTCGCGCGCCGCGGTCAAATAAATAACACAGTTGAACGCTCGCCGCCGGGGCCGCCTCGCGTCACCAGTGACGTCACCGCACCAGTGACGTCACCGCGTCCTGGGGCCGCCGCCGGGTATAAAATCTGGCACTGGACCTGCGGGGCGCACGGCGCAGGCGCCGGCCGGGATTGCACAGAGGGCGGCGTGGCCGCTGGCAGTGGGGGAGGGCGGGGTCGGGGGCGGGGCGGCAGCCTCAGCGGCCGACGCGGCATCATTGCTGCGGCTGCGCCTGCGAGGCGCGCATGCTGTCGATCTTGGCGCAGATCTTGAGCGCCGGGCCCAGCCGGATCGACATGGCCTGCATCAGGTGGTCGGCGCGCAGCAGCATCAGCGCCTGGCCGTCGATCTCCTGCAGCGCGAAGTCCTCGGCGTAGTCCGAGCAGCCCGGCAGGTTCTTGATGAAGTCCACCACGTCCTCCACCTGGCGGCGCGCGGCGGAAGCGCGGCGGCGCGTCAGCTGACGGCGCGTCACGGCGAGAGCGTGGGCCCCGCGGCCCGGCAGATGCCGCCCAACGCAACACGGGACTGATATGTCACGTACCACGCGGACCAGAGCCACCTCTGGTTCGATAAGGCATTGACCATTGAACTCTGGGGCTGACAAAGCATGTGAGATAAAACCTAAGCACGAAATTATGACTCCAAAAGGTCACTTAGTTCCTCGAAATAGCACAGAAAGAAAGGGAAATTTTTAGACGCAAATCGATATCGAAAGTACAAAAAAAAAACAACAGCGCACAGATAAAACATTACTCATACAACAATGGCTGTGCACGCGCAAAGTCCTCACTGCAACACTCAGCGGTAAGTTGGACGCTTCGGCGGGCATTCACGATCGACCACACAATTTCGAAACAGCTGACGAGCTCACAGCACCTCCACTCATCTCACAAATCGGGTGGCACGTTCCAATTCAAACGGCTGCGCTGCCTCTCCCCAATGGCCGCTGATAACACCAGCGCCGTCTCGGCCCGCTCGGCAGAGCTGCCCGGTGAGGGCGGCGGCGCCGTCGCGCCGACAGAGCGGCGTGGTCGGTACGGCCGGTCCGTTCGGCCGTCCCCCGGGCCGTACTCACGTTCCAGGTGAGCGGGTTGGGCTTGTTCGGGTTGACCGGCGCCGCCTTCTCCTCAGCCGCCGGCGCCGGCGCGCCCGAGCTGGATGATTCGACGCTCGATGACTCCGAGTCCGAAGGTCCCGGGTTCGAGTCCTGGAACACCCCGCGCCGCGTCATGAGCCACCCGATTTGATTCCGTGCAAGGCAAGCGAAGACACATGATGACGGTGCCTGCACGTCCCTCATCGACACTAGCCCGAAACTAATGGAACGCAGCGAAAGAAGTATGGCCCCGAGCATAGCTGGCATGGACCCAGCTGGTTCGACTCCACTACCCAGCCTCTTCCACACAGCAGTTGGTGCTTGACAAAGGCAATCCATCCCAATGCTGTCACTGAACACGTCGTCCCAAACTGAGCCGCAACAATCATCTGGCCCACACCAGACGAGAGGTGCATAAACCCGACGGCCCGAATAAAGTCGCCCGAGACGTAGTCCATGCGAGCAAGGCTCACGAGACGTAACCCGCTGGGCCAGGCACGGCAGGGCTGCGCCACCACACACGAAACGCCGCACATCCCTCACCCCGACACCGGGACAAAGCTCTGCGCCCCAGCCGCTCGCCGTCGCGGGCGGACCGCTCAGTAACGGTGGGACACGGTCCCGCGCCCGTCCCGACACCCAGTGGTCAGGCCGTTTCGCCGCCGTTCCATCTCGCCCAGGCCCCGCGAGAGAGCACAGCCACTCCGGCACAGCCCGGCCACCCCACTGCCGAGACAGAACACGGGGCGAACGCCGCCAGACTCCCCTCACACACACAGACACGCACCCCTCCCAGACTCTCACAGACCCTCCACCCCTGCCTGGCCAGACCCTTGCAGACCCTCCAACCTCTCCCAGACCCTCGCAGACCCTCCATCCCGGCCTGACCAAACCCTTGCAGACCCTCCAACCTCTCCCAGACCCTCGCAGACCCTCCACCCCGGCCTGACCAGACCCCCTCCCCCTCCAGCCAGCACGCGGAGCCCAGCGGCCGCGCCGCGCCACCCACCCGGTCCTCGAGGCGGGCCTTCTTGCCCGCCGGCTCGGAGACAGACGACTTGCGACCGGGCTTCTTGGGGCCCGGCGACGGCGACGACTGCGACTTGGAGCGCTTCTGCTTGGCCTTGATGTCGGCGGGGCTGGAGGCGTCCGACGCCGGCCGCTTCGCTGCGGACGGTCAGCACGTGTCAGCTGGCTGGCTCGGATGTCATTTCAGATGACGCGGCTCGTGAAAAGCGGCGTTAGCAGGGTCTGACGTGCACGGGGCTTGGCACATAGCGCGGCCGGTGCAGGGTCGGCGCGGGACGCACCCATAGGGAGCAGTGTCGGATTTGTTTTTGAAACATTGCGCGTGATTTTTGCTGGAGCAATAGGTGGGAACTGCTTCCGCGACTGGCGTTTAATCATTCGGAGCGGCTTCGGCTGACGCGACTCGGCGGCTCAGCCCGCTGAGCGCCTGGTTATTAGTTGCCTTATTTCTGCAGCACTTCTGGTCCTTTACTACCGGTCATTTGGAGGGCCACAGAGAGGCGCCAAATAACGACAAGCACCGGAAGGCAATTCTAACACGATAAAAACCCGCATGCAGCTCGACATGGGTTACACAAAAAGAGTGTAAGCAAATCGAAAGCCAACTACTGAGCAGGTTATGTACAGCACAGATGGCTGAATGACAAAACCTCACTACAGGGCCTGCTGCACCTTCGCCTGAGACGCACATGGCGCCTGGATGTACACCTCTTGCCCGGCTCCCCCGCCCCGCGAGGTGACACTAGCACACTGATAGCACTGGGACTGGGACCCAACAAACGGCGTGTAGTCGTGGCCAGCTGTCGCACCCGAGTTCCCTTGGCCCGTGCCGTGCCCCGGACCAGGGGCGGCCAGGGACAGAGTTCCGGCCGGCTCCGCACACAACACGCACCCTGCAACTCGTTGGTGGCCACCGGGTGGTTCTCCTTGTCGCTCGAGTGCTTGCCCATGCTGAACGGCTCCGACGCTGCGACAGAGCGACGTTGAGTCAGCCGAGCGGCGGTGGCCGAGAGCACGGGACGGCGGCGGCCGAGAGCACGGGACAGCGGACAGGTGACCGACAGCACGGGACGGCGGACAGGTGGCCGAGAGCACGGGACGGCGGACAGGTGGCCGAGAGCACGGGACAGCGGACAGGTGGTAGAGAGCACGGGACGGCGCACAGGTGGCCGAAAGCACGGGACGGCGAACAGGTGGCCGAGAGCACGGAACTGCAGACAGGTGGGCGAGAGCACGGAGCACCGAACTGCGTATACCGCACCGGACGGGACCGGACAGGAAACAGCACCAGACACCAGACACACAACATACCGCTACAACGTGGGATGTGGGCACCATAGCGCCGACGGAGGCCATGAGAGTACGCGGGAGTGAATGATGGTGGTAGTGGTGGTGGCGACGGGGTAGTAAGGGGACAGATGACATAACACATAACGCCACAAAACAGTGGAAGGCTGCGAGCATCAAATAAACAGAGGATGGAAACAGGAGCGGGAGGATATCGCACGCCACGACACACTCACTGGAAGACACAGCAAATGACACGGCTCAAAGAACAGGGACCACCCCAGGGAACTGCATCATCGGCCCTCGCCCCTGCAGAGAATCAGCACAGCGGCTGCTCGCCCGCCGCGCCAGGCTGCCTACCTTCCTGGATGATGAAGCCGTCGATGACATGCGTCAGCACCTGCGGCTTCACCATGGCCTTGGGCAGCGCCGGCTTCTCTTTGACGTCCACCGTGTTCTGGGAGGAGCCTGCGGGCCGACCTACACAAGTCATGTCACGGCCCAGACCTTGGTACACAAGCAATTACAGCCCCATGCTCGGGCGCTCATTAGTTGAGAATAGCTTAGATGGCATTCGACAACACTTAGGACGCTCTGATACTGAGAAAAATCAACAAAACACTTATTTATCGGTCTAATCCTGCTCTCAGGACACTTCATCACGAACTGCAAACATAAACAAATCCAGCGTTGATACTCAGCAATGCAAATCACTACTTTTCATGACAGACTTGGGTACGTGACAAAAAAACAAACAAAACAAAAGAACACAGACAACCTTGACGTACCTTTGCGCTCCCCATTCGTGACAGACTTCTCCGTCTTGATCTCCTTCACGCTGTCCGTGGCTGTGGAGGAGGGAGCAGGTGCAGGCGCGGGTGCAGGCGCAGGTGCAGGCGTAGGCGCGGGCGCAGAGGCAGGGGCAGGGGCAGGCGCAGGCGCAGGCGCAGGGGCAGAGGCAGGCACAGGGACAGGGGCAGGGGCAGGGACAGGGACAGGGACAGGGACAGGGGCAGGGGCAGGAGCGGGCACAGGGGCGGTCGCAGGAGCGGGGGCGGGAGCGGGGGGCGCAGGGGCGGGAGTAGGGGCGACAGCAGGCGCGGGCGCGGGCGCCGCGGGGGTCGGGGCCGACACCGGCGCGGCGGCCGACGGCGCGGCTGGAGCCGCCAGTGGCGCCGCCGACGCGGCCGCCGGTGCCGCCGACGAGACGGCCACGGGTGTCGGCGCCGGCGCCGCGGCGGGCGAGCTGGCGGCCGCAGGCGACGGCGGCGGCGGCGCGGCGCCCACCTTCGGGCTCTTGGGCTTGACAGGTGAGCGCGGCTTGGCCTGCGGCGACTGCACCACCGGGCGGGCGGGTCCGTGGCCGGCCGCCGGCGAAGCGCCGGTCGGCTCGGTGGCGGCCGGCGCCGCCGGCGGCCGCAGCGGCGCGGTGCCGGCCAGCGTGCCCGGCGCGCGCGGCTGCATCAGCGCCAGACCCGGCTGGCCGCGGCCGGCCGCCTTGACGCGCATCTTGTGCTGCTGCCGCGGCGCCGCCTGCAGGCCCACCGGCAGCGGCTGCACGCCGCCGGCCGCCACCGGCCGCAGCTGCCCCGGCTGCACGTTGGGCAGGATGAGCGGCCGCTGGCCGGCCAGTCGCGGCTGGATGCTGGGCGGCTCGGCGTAGCGTGGCTTGGCGGCCGGTTGCGCCTGCGGCTGCGCCTGCTGCGCCGGCGGCGGCTGCGCCGGCACCGTCTGCGGCAGCGTCGTCATGGTGGTGGCCGTAGCCACGGCGGCCGAGAAGCGCAGCTGGTTCGGGTCGGCCGTCACCTGCGTGGGACGGAAGCAGCGTCAGACACGGGGCGGAGGCGGTGTCAGCTGCGGGGCGCAGGCGGTGTCAGACACGGGGCGCAGGCGGTGTCAGACACATGGCGGTGTCAGACACGGGGCGGAGGCGGTATCAGACACGGGGCGGAGGCGGTGTCAGCCGCGGGACGGAGGCGGTGTCAGCCGCGGGGAGCGAGCGTTCGACGCCAGACTGAGCTCGCCGGAGTCGAACGACAGCTGTTTACGATAGCGCTGGCCGCACGAGGGTGACAGGAAGTAGGAATCAGAGATGGACCGGAATGAGTCAGAACTGAGTTCCGTTGAAGCTGGCTTTGCGCAAATGTTGCTTGCTGGTTCCAAGAAATCAGCGGTCACAAGGGTAACCGTAGCCGTCATTGAACGTTGCAATATCATTGTTTGCAGCGGGCACACTGCAAACCGCAGGCGCGTGTCGGGAATAGGCACATCAACGGCAAGTGATGAGCCAGAGAAAGGTATTACTTCTTCAGGGAAGGTGGAAATAAGTGTCGGCAATTCACGAGATAGTCGGGGAACCCGCAGTAAAATAACAAAAGCTGCCACCGGGGCTAGAGGGGGGGGGGGGGGGGGGGGAGGGGGGAGTACAGCATTACAGGCGTTAGTACAATGAGAGCTTCACTAAACGGGCGATAGCATCGAACGAGTGGACGGCGAACGAAAGACCAGGAGGGAAGGTCAGGAGCACGAGGGAGCGCAAGCAGCGGGACTCGGGACTGACCAGGGTGGCGTAGGCGGCGGCCTCACTGCAGCCGCAGGAGCTCGGAGCAAGGGTCGGTCGGCGCATCCCCATGGCGCCGAACAGCGTGGCCGGCGGCGGACCGGGGCCGGGCTCAGACCCCGGCGCGCCGAGCGAGACAGCCAGACCCGGCAACTGGGGGCGGCGGAGCAGCGGAGACGGACGGGCAGCGGAGACGGACGGGCAGCGGAGACGGACGGACAGCGGAGACGGACGGACAGCGGAGACAGGCGGAGCAGCGGAGACAAACTAACAGCGGAGACGGGCAGACAGCGGAGACGGACGGACAGCGGAGACGGACGGACAGCGGTGGGTTTGGCAGCGGGGACTGGGCCTGCCGCGAGGGAGGCGGCGAGGAGCTGCGGCGGCCGAGCCGGCCGGGGAGGCCAGCTCGCACGCGGCAGCTGTCTGCCACGCCGATACCAACTCGCGGGTGTCTGTTTGCCGTGCCGTTGGTGACGCAGCGACGCTTGTGCCGTTATCGACAGCGTATCGCGCCGACCACATCCGGAGCAGATGGGAATGAGTGTCATGCGGACAGCCGCCGCGGCGGCGAGAGCGGCATTCTGCCTCGGAGCCACGGCACCCCTTTCAAGATAATCGTCCTTGGCCTTACCATCGCATTTATGCGCTCCGCCTGGCGCCAGCTCCTTGTGACCCTGTCATAAGCTCCCAATGGCCCACCGTGACCTTTTTGTGACCCTTCTTTAGCTGGCAGTGGGTAAATAGTGACCCGCCCTCGACCTTCTAGCGACCTGAAGTGACGTGATTACGTGACCCTAGCATCCGCGTGTCATTGGGGCTTTACGACGAACTCAGCTGCAGAGGCTATTTGACGGCGTCCCCTGCCTTTCACCCTGGCAGGAGGGGCGGGCACTGCGGGGAATCGAGCCCCGTGCCTCTGGTTTCCGAGATGCGCAGCTGAGCCACCACACTATTGCTACCGCCAGGACCACCATCCGCCCGGCGGCCTGACCACGACCTCCCTGACACCTTCTGGTGACCGTGCCGCACCCGTGCCGCACTGGTGACCTTCCGCCCGGCCGGCGGCGCCAGCTCACCTGCTGCTGCTGCACCTGCTGCTGGGCGGGCGGGCTCTGCAGGAACATGCCCTCCTGCGGCGCCTGGCCGGGCCCGGCCGCCGGCGCCACCGACGGCCGGATGTAAATCGGGTTCTGGAACAGCGCCTGCGGCATCTGGCCGAAAGCCTGCGGCATCTGACCGAACGCCTGCCGGGCGGAGACGGGCGGCGTCAGGCGGCGTCAGGCGGCGTTAGGCGGACTCGGGCGAGCCCGGGCGGCGAGCGGGGCGGCGCGCGGAGCGGCGAGACCGCGGCCGCCGCCGGCCGAAACTGCACGTCACGCGAGATGTGATTTGCCGGCGTTATCAGATGCGGGACGCGTCGGCCGCACCGGCCACGAGACGACATGAAGCCGCGTGTGAGGATGAGTTGAGGTTTCGGCCGCCGCGGCCGTACCGTCGCATGGCGTCTCAAAGACGTTCATACGCTTCGCCGTTCGACTTCGCTATGTTGCGGGATCGTGGGCACACATATCACGCGCTCGGGCACGAGCACAATGCGTGCAGAACTGATGTCGTGGCGGTCGAGTCAAGTTGAAAACGAAAACGCTTCACGCTCAGACTTCAATCGACAATGTAAGCACACTCCGCCGTGCAAAGGTAAAACCTCATCCGTTAAGTTTTGGCCATTTTGGTTTTGTTACGTCATCTGATTTATCTCCCCATGCTGATTTCGGTGACTCAATCAGTTGGAATTTTCACAAATTTTTAGCCCTTTCTTTAAGCTAAAAGTCTGTGAAAATTTCAACTATTTGTTTAAATATCCGAGCGCAGCATGAGAAGACGAATCAGATGACATAAAAAATGCAAAATGACCAAGAATGAACATGAGCGGTTTTACCTTAGGACGGCAGCACTATTCAAATGAGCCAATATCGTGATCGGAGCAGGACAGGGCCACTGAAAGCTTCATGGCCACACGTTCAGCACTGTTTTCGTCAGCTAGTGAGCAACGGTCACCAAATATGCAAGATTGTTCATGTAGCAAAGGGCGTAAGATTCACTTTTGCGTTGATTCCCTTACAAGACACTTCCTATAGTCAAACCGTACCAGCTTATCAGAAGTAACACCAGAGCAGGACAGTTCAATGCTTATCAAACGAAGATCATGCAGTACCCACACTTTCCGAAGTACCTTCTAGACATCCAAATACATGCCGTCTAGACACCTACGGCCAGACATTCGATGTGGCCTCTGTATCTCACCTGTTGTATCTGTGTGCTCAGGCACGCCGCTGTTCCGTCCCACGCAATCTCACCACGTGCTGCTATCAGCTCCACTTACCCACAACCCGCCCGCCGTGGACACAGCACGGTATCGGCGCTGGCGCCACCTGCTGATGACCTCACCCCAAGATACGGACACTGCCGGACACCGCCGGACACACGTGCTCCCGTGTGACTCCCCCCCCCCCCCCTCCGGGCTTTCTGTTCACCGCTTCGACCACGTCCGGCGCCCAGTCTGTCCGATATTGGGCAATAGAGCAAGACATAGCCGCACAGAATGCGTTGCATCGCCGGGAAGACCTGGCTTTCTCTTCGGATCAAGCGTCCTGGCTTGATGAACCACAGAAGAGGCCTTGCCCACAGTTTTCACGAGGCGTGGTGACGTTAAAGACCTCGGAATCACATGCATCCACAAACAACCCACCAGTTATTGCCAAGGCCTGATGCTCCGATGCACAGTGCCGCTGCACTGCCGCGTAACCATGACGACGGGCCACGGAGGCGTGTCGTCGCCAGCGGACGAGACTGCCCGTAGTCCGGTCTGCCGCGGAGACGGCCCGGCCGCAGTCCTCGTCAGCAGTCCTCGTTACGCTCACACGTCCTCGCCCTCTTGTTCTCCACCCGCTGCATCATCTGCTTACCGTCCCCCTCTAAGCTTCCTCACTTCCCTGCTCCGCTTCGCGTTTCCTCCGCCTCTTCTCTCGTCGTGCGCCGCGCCCTCTCTCGCTCACCTGCAGCTGGTTGAAGATCTGTGACGAGTTGGCGATCATGGGCATGTGGTGCGAGCCCGCCTGGGAAGTCACCACCTGGTGCTGGTGCACGCCAGAGCCGGCCACCGACACCAGCTGCTTGGGGCCCGGCGAGCCGGCCGCGTGCAGCGGCAGCCGCTGACCCAGCGCCACCTGGTGCGCATGCGCGGACAGACGCTCAGGCCGGGCGGCGAGCCACTACAGCGCCACGACATCGAGACGACGGCGGGAGGCGAGCAGGGAGTGAGTGACAAACGGGGGAAGGAACGAGAGGGGGGGGGGGGGGGCACGGCGTCTGGCCGGAGTGAGGCGCTGGTGCGGGGCGCCACAGCTGCCGCTGGCGCCGGCGAGAGCTGATCTAATTGCGCCGACCGGGCCCGGCCGGTCTCGGGCGCCGCGCGGACACTGACGTGCAGCAGGGGCAGGCAGACAGGTCGCGTTCAGACCAGAACTCATCGTGCATTGAGTCTGGATCTACAAGTCACATTAAGTCCGAATCTACTTCGTCACCATCAGCTGCTGACATATCGAGGTGAGGTGACATTTGGCCCCTAAATTTTGTCCTACGTAGCAGGCACGCGCAGTAAGTAGTCTCGTGGCCTAGATCTGCCCCACGGCCTATCAGTCTGCCAATGACTCAGATCCGTCCACGAGCTCTGCCGGGCTCTGCTCCAGCCCGCATCAGCTGCGCGCCAGCCCCGCCGCAGACCGCGGGGACCCCCACGCCGGGGGCGCGACTCGAGGTCAGCGCCCGTCTGCCCGTCGGCCCGTCTGGCCGGCGGACGAGAACCGGACCCCGGAGAAACCCGGTCCGGTCGGGCACGGCAGCCAGCAGCGGTGGTCATGTCGCCCGGGCAGCTCCCCGCAGCCGGCGACAGCGGCAGCCGGGGCCAGCAGGGGGCGGGGGCGGCAGCCGGGCCAACGACGACACCAACAGGCAGCCACAGCTACCGAGCCAGCTACCGCGCGGGCACGCGGGCACAGCCACGGACACGGACGCGGGCACATCCAGAGCGCATGCGGGGTGGGCGGCGGCGCGCCGACGCACCTTAGTCAGGTCGTTGGGCTTCGAGTTGGACGGCAGGATGTTGGCCTGCGAGGAGAGCATCACTAGCGTGCCGTTGTTGGACGTCGGGATGGTCGTGTAGCCGGCCGCCGGAAACGCGCCTGAGGGCACACAGACGCAGCGATGACGTCACACTCCACCGCAGCGGGGCAGGTCATCACCGTCGGCGGTCACGTGTCACGTGCCGCGCGCTGTGACTTCTCCGCGGCTGGTTTGCACGCTTCGGCGACATGTTCGCGAGGCCACACGGGCACGGGCACGGGGGCGACCCCGGCTCGACCGATGTATCTCTCCTGCACCGTAGGCGGAGCGTGGGAGTTGGCGGGGGCTGTGTACGGCCGGCGCACGGACAGGGGGCCAGGCCGCGTCACCCCAGAACAATGCAGCACCAGTGCAAGTCACCGCGGTGCGACTGAGGGGTAGGTGTCGTATCAGAATTCCACGGCATCCTGCCATCTCCCATCGCCCTGCTATCACACGCACTCACGCACAAAAAATCACCGGGCCCACATCCCAGTAAAGTCTGGCACACGAGACAGCTGGCCGACGGCGACGGGAGGGAGGAGGATGACAGAGAAGCGGCGAATGAGTCAGTCCGCCGCGGGCAGCGAAGGGACGGGTCGGCTGGCACGCCACACCAGTGACGAGCCGCCATAGAAAGTACTGCGGCGGCCACGCTGCCTCGGGCGGCGCCGGAGCCAGATGTCAAAGGTGGACCGGTGGGCTGATTACGGAGAAATGCCGCTTGTCGCCGACCACGCTCGCGGGAGATCGCGATCCATGAATGAGTGATCGCCCTGAATGACTGTAATTACGAGGCACGTTCAGGCCGTCAATTTCTCGGGGCAAACGAATTCGGCCTGAAATCTTATCTAAAAAGCTTGTCATCTGAACAGCGTCCCACAGGCCTACAACACGTTCAACCACACCGGCTCCGTCTCGCGCATCCCCGAGCATCGATCGGACCGACCGTCACGGGGAAGCCCCACCACGCCGAGCTCCCGAGCCCTCGCCGAGCCCATCCCACACGCCGCCCGCCTCTGCGCCGCCGCCGCACGAACGAGCCGCGGCGACGTCTCGCGCCGGCCGCCAGGCGCCTGCGTCGCCTCGCACTTGTGATGTCAGCGGCGCTCACAGCGCGGCACGGTCACGGGGTCACAGCCCGGGCGGGTCACAGGCGTCACAGCCCGGGTAGGTCACAGGGGTCGCAGGGCGGGTGGTTCATAGGGGGTCACAGCAAGGTAGGTCACAGGAGTCGCAGGGCAGGTGGTTCGCAGGGGTCACAGCCAGGAAGGTCACAGGGATCAGAGCCCGGGCGGGTCGCGAGGGTCACAGCCCGGGTAGGTCACAAAGGCTAAAGCGCGGGCGGGTTACAGGGGTCGCGGGGCGGGTGGTTTACAAGGGTCGCAGCCGAGGTAGGTCACAGGTGATACAGCGCGGGCGGGTCATAGGTTCCGGGTAGGTTACAGGGGCCATAGTCCGGATAGATTACAGAGGTCGCAGCCCGGGCGGGCCACGAGGGTCGCAGCCCGGTTGGGTCACAGCGGTCACAGCACAGTCAGGTCACTGGCCTCACAGCGCACACCGGCCGCGGACGTCAGCATCACAGCCGCGTTACAGCCGGGGCGTCACCGACCCGGCGCGCCACGCGACCCCACCTCACGCGGCCCGAGCCGGGACGCGGCGACGCAGCAGCGGACCACGAGCGGGGCCAGGATGTGGCCACCCAGCGCACAGCGGGCCAACCGCAGCCGGCGGGCGCACCGTCCGGCCGCGCGCGGCGCACACCGGGCCACGACGCGCACTGCGCAGCCAAAGCTGGCGCGTGGCTGGCGGCTGACGTCCCGACCGTCTGGCGCGCCGCCCCCGTCCGTCCTCCCGCCATCCGTCGAATCGGTTACGCCACCGCCGCCCGGCCGGCCGCCCACGGCGGCGTGACGTCACGGCCCCGTCGGACGCGCCAGCCGTACTGCCGCGTCGGCGGCCGGCGGCGGCGGCGGCGGCCTCGGTCTCGGCCGGGCGTGCGCTGTCTCCGCGACGGCGGGTCACGTCGCCGACTGGTGGAGCGGCGCATTGTCGGGCGGCGTGAGAAGGTCACGTGAATCAGTGGCACGCCGGCGCTCGTGCCGCGTGCGTATTTACCCCGAGATGGCTCCCGCCGGCGCCGGCGACGCGGTGCAAAAACTGGGCGGCACGGCTCGGAAAGCCCCTGTCATTAGCACCCCGTCTGGCCTTCCAGTCGTAACTGGCCGTCCATATGGCTGCGGCGCTTCGTGGAAAAAAGCCGACAGCCTCCATATGGCCGTTTAATGACCTCGACCGTTCAGGCGTCGCCCTGGTGGCAGCCCGTCTCCTGACTGGGTCGGCATGGGCGACGGCTCTGCTCCGCGCCTCTGCCTGATCTGATTTGTTCTGATCTGATCTGGTCTGATCCGATCTTATCTTGACCTGACCTGACCAGGACCTTATTCCGCGCAGGGCCCGCACTTACCGGCAGAGGTGAGCATGTGTGGAAGCTGCGACTGAGTCAGCGGCTTTCCGGCGGCGATCACCTGAGGACAGGCCAACCAAGGTCAGTTGAGGTCAGACGAGGTCAGTGTCGTTGTAGGTCATTGAAGGTCACCATACGTCGGAGGGGCTCACGCCGGGACAGGTCAATGCTGGTCAAAGCAGGCGGCCAGGCGCCATCACAAGTCGCAGCGACAGATTTCCACGAAGGTCACCGAAGGTCACCATAGGTCACCACAGGCCAGCAGAAGCCGTGCACGGCACACTCCGCTCGGCACAGTCGTTCACCAGCCGTCCCAAACCCACTCACTTTCAGACGGAACCCCTGGACCGGTAGCGCGTCAGCGGCCGCCACTCCGGGTCAGCCCGCCGTGACCCCGGAACTCCGAAGCGGACCGGAGTTCTCGCGGCACCGGCTCGTCCCGCCGCCACCCGTTCGCCAGCCACTCTCAAAACAAAACTGCCGCCCCGCCAACCTGTCGCGACTCAACTCTTGGCACGCCGCCAACTGGCCATGAACGGCCGGCCGCCGCGTCGCGACGGCTCAAAATGCCACTGGCGAGCGCGGCGGGCGCGCCGTACCGGCCGGCGCCGGTCGCAGCCATTGTGGCTCTCGCGGCGGGCCCGACCCGGCCAAGTTCACTGGCGAATCGATCAGCGGCCGGGCCGCACAGTCACCCGGAAGGGGTGCGCCAGCAGCCACCCGCTCCGCCGGCACGGCTGGGTGGAGCGGCCAGCGCACGGCCCACACAGGTCGGACAACACGGCCGCCCACGGTCCCGACGACGGGGCACCAGCAGGGGGGGGGGGGGGGGGTCACTCACACCCAGGTAGGCAACAGCGTAACCACTGACATGGGGACAGAGCGCTGGGAGCACTCACGCCCAGACCGTGGGTGGGTACCAGGAACACGAGCGACCAGATCAGGTGCTTCTCACATCCAGACGGGGAGCATCGCACACGCTCGCGCCCATACAGCGTATCGCGGCACTCATCACTTCACGCCGAGTACCAGCAACATAAAACACTCGCATCCGATAGTGAGCACCACCGGCACTCACACCCAAGCAGAGCACTAGAGGCGCTCACAACCAGGCAGGCATTACCAAAAACGTCCAACCCAAAAAAGCACGGGGCACCAGGAGCACCCCGACCGAGAGGGAGCGCCAGCGCGCCCGCCAGCCAGAGAGCACCAGAAACACACTGCTTTCCAAACAGAGGACCGCAAGAACATGCCGCAGCTCACACAAGGCATGCCCGAAACGTGATACATCCCAAACGCCGGGCGGCGGTAAACAGTCACGATCGTTAAGCGCCCGGTATGAGCACGCGGCGCTGCGGAGCACAGAGCACACGGCGCTGCGGGGCACAGAACACGCAGTGCTGCGGAGTACAGAGCACGCAGCGCTGCGGAGCGCGGAGCACACGGCGCTGCGGGGCACAGAGCACGCAGCGCTGCGGAGCGCGGAGCACACGGCGCTGCAGAGCACAGAGCACGCGGCGCTGCGGGGCGCGGGGCACAATGCGCTGCGAAGCACAGAGCAAACGGCGCTGCGGGGCGCGGAGCACGCGGCGCTGCGGAGCACAGAGCACGCGGCGCTGCGCCAACCCGAGCTGGCTAGGCCTTGGTCGCGTCACGAGCCGTGCGACCTCGGACCGGCCCCGGCGCACGCGAGTTGGAGCACGGAACGGCTCGGAACGCGGCGCACAGCACAGAGATCGCATGTACACGCTAAACAACACCCGCGAGAGATCAGGGTCGCTGCCCTGAAACTCCCCAACCGAGCCAGAGCACCCAGCACACCCAGAAATATAGACTTTGAGCATCCTGAACAAGGTGAACGTTGAAGACAATGAGAGGAAGCCTAAGCTTTGTATCCTTGGAAATTCGATGCTTGCTGGCTTACAGGAAAATGCATTCTACACACCTACCATTCGTTGCTTCGGCATTCAATATTTGTCGGCTTACAGGAAAATGTACGCCAGAGTTTGCCCAACTCGTCAAAAGCAACGGTTGTTTGCTGTCAATATCCGTATTGTTCAAACATTGACTCAGCAATGATACAAAGAAGGGAAAGTAGCCAACGTCACGCTCAGAGCGCGGTGACATGGCTTGCACAAAGCACAAATCGTCACCACACGGTGGTGTAACGTCTCTGAGATTGGGGATCAAATCAGGGCTTGGGGGTCAAACTGAAATCCGGAGGCAGCAAACCAACCCGGAAATGGCGTTCTGTATAGGAAAACGTAAAAAACGTATTTCGTGGGCAAAATCGGAGGAGAAATGACAATGAAAATTGAAGGGAACATCATGTTTGACCCCCAGCCCCCCCCCCTCCCCAGACACCACGTCTGACACCAATATCACGTTTGACTGCACACCACTAGTGAGTGAAAAGTGTTCAAGTCAACGTCCTGCTGGCTGGGAGAACGACTCCCTGGAGTAGCGTCTCGTGCCGCGCCGCCTGCCGCTCGGCAGTGCTGCCACCTGCCCTCTGTCGGCGACAAGCAGCGCCACCTACGTACCTGGATAGGACCACCGAGTCCCTGCTGGTGCATCACGTTGCCCATCAGCACCTGGCCCGGGTGGCTGTACAGCTGCTGCAGGTACGCCGAGTTCATCGGCTGCTGGATCACCTGGACCTGCCGCAAGAGGGCGGGGCAGTCAGTGGCCGGGTCAGAAAACAGAGGTCAGAGGCCCCCATGGCCAGGGGGCGAGGGGGGGGGGGCTGCTGCACCCCTGCGGCGTGTGACCATTCTGTCGCCGGTTGCTCAGGTCAGTGACGACAATCACTCGGCAATTTTGGCTTCCCTCTGTCGGCTTGTCTCCAAAATATGGTCATGCACGTGGTAAGAAACGGTACGTGTGCCGGGGCGTCACCGTTTGTATACTCCTAGCGAGCCCGTCGCCCTGTCTCCAATAGTTTCGGATTTTCAGGCGACAACCCACGGAAATGCATGAAAAGGATGGCTTGAATAGTTGAAATTTCCGTTGGAGCTCCTATATTAATTTCTGGAAAGTGCTGCACCGGATGGGTGCCATCGAAGGGCCCATTGCGGGACGGGACGACACGGTGAGGTGCTGGAAAATTAGCGTGAACGGACGATTAACCTGATTAGCTGATGCCAACGATTAGCGCAAAATATTTACCTCGGCGCATCGGCAAACACAGGCAAGACCGCGGCTGGACAAGACACTGCTAATGGTATCCACAACGCTGTCGACCTCTTTCAGCGCCGCCATGCGGCAAAGCCAAGAAGCATAGATCACGTGCCAGCCATCAGATGGCACGGCCCGAGCCAACAGCGAACGAGACTAAATGACAAGGGAGTTCCATGGTTCAGAGTCGAGCATGCACATCTTCCGTATCTTTTAAGGCATATCAAAGCCTAATGGTAGAGCATTCCGATGCAAAGTTTAATGCTTCTATGAGTATTAAACCTGAGAAATTGAGGGGAAAATCGAAAATACTGAAATTCATTTCAAACGCTCCATAGATCATCTCAGGTTAAGCTGTCGCGTTAGCCGACGGTAAGTAAACGAATATCTGCATTGAAATTTGCAGCGAATTCCCCCCAAATATTCAATAATTACCGCAAAACTTTAGCAATTCCCGGCTTGGCGCACAAGACGTACGAAGGTGAACACTCCGAAAACCTGACGTCAAAACTAAGGCTCGGAAAATACCCGCCATGCTTGTCGCAGCCTGGTCCTGGCATGGCCAACTCAGCTCAGCCCTGGCATGGCCACAACATAAGTCAGTCCTGGCACGGCCACTCATTCCCCTCGACACTCGTCCGGCCCGCCATGAATCTCCACCGCCGTTGAGCCGCACGTCGTCAGCGGTCGCCGCCGAAAGAGCGCTGCTCCTCGAGTCAACTCGCCCCGTGTCCCAACGCAGCCAGGCGGGCCTGTCACTCGGCCGCGCCCGGCTCTCCGCCCGACCCACACCACCAGTGACTGATGACGACAGCGCGAGCCCGTCACAGCCGAGCACGAGCCTGGCGTCGCCCAGGCCAACCGAGTTCTGTCGGCGCTTTTGGGAGGCTGGCCTATGCGACCCAACTGGGTACAGGGTCCGCGACGGAGCGACAGACACGCAATCAGGTGGTTTTGCGTATGTTATCATCGCAGTCCGAGAACTATGATTCCCAACGAAGGACGTGCGCTGCAGTTCGTGCATACTGACGCCCTTCATCTCACCCAGCCGCGCCCCTGCCACGTCTGAGGGGGCCCCCGAATGCCGCGGCAAACGCGGTCGCCGGGTGCGACCAGGCGCGCGCGACAGCCGACTATGGGTGGCCGAGGGCAGCGCCCGCTCGGCGCGCGAGGCCATCGCCCGCCCACGTATGCCGCCGGTTACAAATGGACGATCCCGGAGCGGTGAATAGGGCGTCAGCGACGACACGCGAAGGACTGGACTTCAAGCTGACTAAACAAAGTCGCCGCTTGCGAAGGCTGAGCGCGCCCGCCGCGCCTGGCCCGGTCCAGGACGCGTCGGCGGCCGTGACTAGTCACCCCGGTGCCCCCAGCAGGGCCGGCCGCGCCGCGCCGACCGCGGACACCGCTCGGGCCGAGCCCGCCGTCGGCCGCCACCACCCGACACGGAGCGGTGACGCGCACAGAGAGACAGAGAGCGGGGAGAGCGAGCGGGCAGAGCGCAGGAGAGGCGGCCCGCCATCGTGCGGCGGCGGCGCCGTCGGGCCGGCGCGGCGTCGCGGGCGCAGCCGGCGCCGCGGTCCGCCCACATCGCGCGGGCCCCCGGGGCACGCGGCGGCTGCCGCTGTCTCGGCCGCCGCCATTGGCCGCCGCCGGCCGCCGGCCGACCAACCAGCGCGGCCGGCCGGCGGCGCCGCATCGACCGGGGCCCGGCCGTGGCGCGGCCGGCGGACGCGAGCGGCGCCCGCCCACCGGCGCGCCGGCGCCGGCGCCGGCCGCGATGAATGGCTGGCTGCCGCCGCCGGCTGTATCGACCGGCGAGCGGGCCGCGCGCGCCGGCCGGGGGCGCCTGACCCGGCCGGCGCCCCGCCGGGTCAGGCCGGAGGTCAAGCGGCTGCCCGCGGCGGCGGCGAGGAACGCCCCGCCACCCCACGCTGTGACTTCCGCTACGACCGTAGCGGGTGCGACAAACAACAAAAACGCCCCGCGCAAAAAAAAACGCATGACTATGTAAATGTGAACGGGGCGAGAAGGGGACCAACGGCGCTCCTCCACTTCCTCTCCCGGCGTTGACCGTCCGCACGGTTCGTGCCGAGGGAACTGACACAACTGGGGCCGCATCGAAGAACCGCGCCGCCGTCCGCGCGCCGCTCGAGCCCCCCGGCGCCTGCCAAAGCTGACCCGGCCAACCGGCCTGCACCCCGCAAAACACCGCCAACAGCGCCGGCGGTCGCGGCCCGGCGCTGGCCCGGCCTCGCGCCAGGCGAAGAGCAACAGGTGACCGGCCGGAGCGCCGTGTGGACTGGGCGAGCCGCCACCGCGCGCCGGGTGTCGGGTGACGGTGGAGCGCCACGGCAAGCGCGCTGTGGCGGACACGGTCCCCAGGCTTCGGGCTGGACGCGGCTGGTCTCGTGACCAGTGGGGAGGTCGGTAACGATCGCCTTGCCCAGCAGCCATCACACACCGGTCGGTCATTCCCGCCTCGGGGCGATATGGCGCCCATTGCTCACTCCCCGTTTCTCGTTAAGCGGCGATACATGTCCGTCACCGAATTTTCCGAATCGCGGCTGTGCAGGGCCACTTCCGCCACACGGCAACAACGCCTTTGCGTCCTGGCCTGACGCAGACGTGCGTCTTGAGCCGTCTCTCGGGGCCCCTAAATCAAGATCGCTTCGCCTGGAGTCGGGGAGCTGAGTAATTCCGGATGAAGGTCGCACGTCACAATAGCCGTACGAACCCACGAGGAGGTGACTGGGGGGGGGGGGGGGGGGACAGGGGCCATGTATACTTTCCTAGGGTATGATCCCATGGCGGTACATGGAGAGGGTGCCACAATAGTAGGTTTGCCGTCAAACTTTTTGGAACGCTTCCGCGCTTTCCCATTCACCCCTCCCCCCCCCCCGCCCCCTCTGCTTCCGACAATGACTAGGTCGAAGACACGACGCACACTGGAACATGGAGCCTTAGCATAGCGGACGGGCGTTTCCGTCCCGGTCTGGTGCGGGGTGCGACCAGACCGTGGTTCGGGACCGGCCTGACGAGACCGCGGTCCCTCGCCGCGGCTCCGTTCCGGTTGGGGCCAGCCCCTCGGTGCCACGGTCCACGGGAGAGTCTCTCCGCTGTTTGCCGCGGTCCCTCGCCGTGGTTCCGTTCCGGCCGGGGCCCGCCCCTCGGTGCCACGGTCCACGGGAGAGTCTCTCCGCTGTTTGCCGCGGTCCCTCGCCGTGGCTCCGTTCCGACCGGGGCCCGCCCCTCGGTGCCACGGTCCACAGCGAGAGTCTCTCCGCTGTTTGCCGCGGGGCGGCAACCAATCTCGCCCAGGCGCGCCGGCTGCCGCATACCGACCGGCCGGCGGCCCGCTCCCGCACACACACACGCGCGCGGGAGCGGGAGCGGGAGCGGGAGCTGGTATTGATCAGCTGAGGCGGCGGGCCCGCAGCCGGCGGCACGCGGGCCAGAGGCCCCGGCCGGCGGGGGCCGGCTTACACCGCTGACGGTAGCTCACGGGCCAGAGGCCCCGGTCGGCGGGGGCCGGCTGACGCCGCTGCCGACACCAGCCCACCAGGGCCGGGGGATTGTGCCGGGCGTTGTCTCACCAGGCCTATTCCCCGCTGGGGGACTCTGACCACCTCTCAGGGACTCCGATCCACCAGCGCTGGCCTCGAGGGACGTCGGCTCATCAGTCCTCCCACCACCTGAGGAACAATGACCCGCCACGCGTCCCTACGCCTCAGTCACGACCCCTTTCCTACAACAACCGATGACATGCCGCGGCCAGTGACGTCACCGACTGGATCTCCGGTGGGGGAGGTCGACCGCTCGGCACGGCGACGCGTCCTGAGGGGCGGCCAACCGCGCGGCCCGGCGGCAGGCGACAGCGGCCGGCGGCATGGCGTCCAGGGGCCTGTTGAGCTGAGCGAGCAGAGCAGCACCAGGCGAACAGACCTTAATCACAACGTTTCAGGATGATTTTTAGAAGCATGCAACGGCTGCAGTGGCAACATCTCAGATCAAACCGCTTGATTTAGCCGGTATCCAAAAAGTGCCTGCGAGGAGTATCGAACCCACGACCTCACCGTCGTTGGGGACAGTAGTCGAAGGTGAGGCGAGTGTCGCCCTCATCGACACGAAAGGCATAAACAACAGCGCACTGACGGATATAGCGGAATGATTTCGTATCCTTTCGACATGCAAGCGGGCTCCCCAGTTTCCCCAGCGCCACAGCCGTAATCTACGGACAGGTTTAAGGACCGCGGTCGCTCACGTGCTCCTCACCCCCATCCACCGCAAACGAGTCTGTCAACGAATGCGCACGCCAGTAGCCAGTAGCCAGCAGCCACCACGCGGCAGGTGCCGAGGACGGTGCAGCGTGCTATGCTGGCGGCTCAAAAGCCCACGGGGCAAACCAGCCCATCCGCGGCTGGAGGACGCGGTCAGGACTTCCGAGAGCGCACGGCAGCCAGCTGGAGCGCTCCGCAGCCGCCGCCGCTGCACATCACCGCCCCAAACCTGAGCCGTGGCCGCCGCCATCCTGCACGCCACGGCCCTGACCGGCTCGGGCTGACCGGCCAGGTCACCTCGCGACACCTGGCGCGCCCTCCAGCCCGCCCGGCGCCGCGCGGCCGCGCTCCAGGCCGCCAGACCTCCAGCGCGCTGCTCCCGGTCCTGACCGGTTCTGCGCCCTCTCCTGATCGCGGTCGCTCCGTCGGCCGGCGTCGCCGGCCCGGCCGGGGCCTCGGCCCCTCTCGGCGGCGCTCGATCAGCGGACCTGGAGCGGATCGCGGACGGACGCCGCTCAATGGCCGGTGACAGCCGGTAGCGGCGCCGGCCGCCCTTTACGACGCCATTACCACTCCATGAAACCGGCCGAGCGCGAGCGGCGCCGGCCGATCATCACGGCTGAATGGCCGCCCGATGAGGAAAGGATAGCCGATGACGGGACGGGGAGGCCGCCGGGCCGCGTCCCGCCCGTCCCCCGCCGCGGGCCCGGCGAGCGCGCCGTCTATTTCCGTCGGGCCGGGGCCGATCAGCCAGTGCGGATGGTTCCCACGCGGGCGGGAGCGGGGCGCGCCGCCGCACGCCGCAGCCGCTTAGCGCAACAGTGGATGGCCGACTGCCGACGGACAGCGGCTGGAGCCGGGCCGCGTCGGCAGCGGCGGAGCAGGCTCAGTGCGGCTGCCCCGTCCTCTCAGACAACAGCCCGCACCAGTCGTGTACTATTGCCGACTGGAAACAAGAAACGAGGAGAAGTTCACCTGCCAGGAGCTCCTGCTAAACATTGTCAGCGACACCGGCGAGCGTACGAGGGGGGGGGGGGGGAGGGAAGGAAGGAACCCACCAATCAATGGTGCAGACGCGCATCGGAGCCCTCGGGGTCTGACGCCGTCTAAAGTAGGGCCTTACAGCCACACTTCTCGCTGACGGCTAGATATTTTCCCCCTGTACACGCCCCTGGCGGGTCAGTGCTCCTCACTGCTCACAGCACATTTCCGCCCAGTCGCGCCCCGTAGTACTCAGTACCCCCATTTCCGCAGACGTAGTACTCAGGACCCACGCGCCCCTTCCAACGCGTCTCTCGTAGGTTTGTGCCGCTCAAAACCCATCCCATACGCACCCAGACGTACCCTGCACCCTCGCGCCGCTGTACAACTCCCGGCGAATTCCGCCCCTTTCCCAAGTCAGCGCCGACACAAGCGTCGCCTCCTCTCCACGCTTCGAACCTGACAGCCCAGCCGCGTCCGTCGCCTCGCCCCGGCCGCCGTGGCCGCCGTCCCCGGCTGCGGGCGGCTGCCAGCCCTCCTCCTGCACCGCCCGCGGCGGCGGCGGCGGCGGCGGCGGCAGGGTGTCATAATCACGCGCCCCGCGGCCGCCGGCCCCACTTGTCGGCCACAGCGGCGCGGCCGGCGGCGCGCGGCGGCGTGCGTGGCGCTCGCCCAGACCGGGCCGGGCCGGGGCGCGCGGTGGCGGCCGGAGCAGCGCAGCCGGAGCCGCAGCTGGCGCCATTTTCTTCCCTGCAGCCGACAGCGCAGCTCGGGGCGCGGCGGCGGTGGCGTCCAAAGGTCCGGCCGGATTACCGGCTAGCCGCGGCCGCCACCGCATCGGCAGAGGGGGAGGGGTGGGCGAGGGTGGGGGCTACTGTGCGGGCGGGCGGGGGCGGCGGCGGGCGGGGGCGGGCGGGCAGGCGGGCCAGGTGCGGTGGCCAGAGCGCCACCGGAGGTGCGGGCCGAGGTCCAGTGGGGTCCTGTACGGCCGGGTCACGTCCAGTCGGACCCACTCAAGCTAGGTCACGACGGATCAGGTTGCGACAAGCAAGTTCTCCGCTGGGTTTGGGGGGGGGGGGGGGTAAGCTCCGGGCGAGTTTGACTGGGTCGTGTCGGGTCAGCTCAGGCCAAACCAGGCCCGTCCGGCTCCCGCCGAGCGTGTCTGCTCACCTGGGTCGGCATGGAGGCCATGGACGTGGCGACGCCCTGCTGGATCAGCTGAAACAGACATGACGCACCTGTTAACGCCGTCCCTCTCTGCACCACGCGCGCGAGCCCTGCACCCGTGCACAGACGACAGTCCCACCCTGCACCCGTGCACCACACATCCCATTCCTGAGTGCATGAGTGCACCCCCCCCCCCCCCGCCCGCTCGGAAGCACGCAGGTCATGTCCGGCGCGCGGCTGCTCCCGACACACGGCCGCGGCCACACTCCGAGACTCCTGTCCAGCGTCGGTCGGGATTCCGCGAGAGCCGCCGTGAGCGGTGCATTAGTCAGATATGCCGGCTACCACGCGCCGGGAATCCGGCAGCGGCGCGACCCTGCGCGCACCCCATACAGAAGCAGCTCCTCGGTGGAGGTGACCTGTTCGGCTCGCATACGACCGGGCTGGAGGATGCCGGCGTTGGTTGAGAAAAATCGCCGAAAAAACCCGCTCGAGCGAGCGGGCCGAACCGCTCTCGCATTGCGGAGTCATTACGCAAAAACCGGCTGCGCCCAGATTACGAAGCCATTACGCAAAGGCCGCGACTGTTCCCCACCCGCGCACGGCTCGTTATCTTCTGCTCAGGCGCACGACCGTCGCTGACATTCAAGAACCACCAGATCGTCACCGAACGAAATGCACGGCGCTCGCTCACGCACCGGTAGCCTCCACCGCACTCCTCGCTACGACCTATTACAGATTCCAGCCGTGCGTGAGGCAGGGCCTCCGCCCTTCGCGAGAGGCCCCGGGGAGGCGGGGTGCGCCGCCCGGTAGACTGGAGCGTCACGGTAGCCGCTGGCGGCCGGGACGCGGTGCTGCGCGGCCGGCCCGGCTCTCGACTGCGATCTTATCTGATCGGCCGGCGCTTCGCCACATCACGACAGCACCGACACCACTGGTGACAGCTGGTGATCTGATCACCCGCCATCATGGCGGGCGCGACCGCTGCGCCCCGGTACTTCGCTCTCCGCCCCCCCCCCCCCCCCCCCACTCTCTCCCTCCCTCACAGCCCAGCCTCGAGTGCCGGCAGCGGAAATGTATGGAGAGCACTTCCATACCGCCAGCCAGCAAGCTGCGCACAAAACGAAACAAAACAAGCCGCACCCAAAGCCCGCCTACGCAGCCAGCTTCCGATCGCCTTGAATCTAGGTATCTCGCAAACTGATCTCATAGGGTCGGTGTACGGCCAGAACACTGACAGGAACGTAAAGCGCGCTGGGAAACTGGTCGTAGATTGCCTCCGCCACCATGCATTTACAATCCGGTCTTTTCGCCAATCACTCCCGCTGCTGTCTCCAGACAGATAATGCAGCGACCCGTTACATGCAAAAACCGCCCCCGTCTCGCCTACGTTCGCTGTCCGGACCGGGCATGGCCCCGGGGTATCCGGCGCTCAGGTCACGGCTCAACGCCCAAAACAGCAGTCTGGAGCCGCCCCTGCCGGACGGGCACCAGGACCGAGGCCGCCGCTGCTCCGGCCCGCCTCGAGACCCGATCTGCACCCCAGCCAAACCAATCAAGCCGCGTGCCTGTTGGGTACGCCCCTGAGCAGGGGCGGCTCCAGGCCCGTCTTTTCCCGCGTCCACAGAATCGCAGGCGTCGATGGCGTGCCAAACGCTCGTCAGCGCCGTTCTCAGCACTCAAACCGCGAAAATTGGTGGGCCTGCCAACCAGGGGCATCCCCCCACACGATCAGTCGTCGCGCAGCTGTTCCTGGGTATGCCTTTGTCCGCCTCTCTCCAACAGCCGCCGCGTGGGGACTCCGCGGCTGTGCCCAAGTCCTCCCTGGCCAGCCGACCTGGACGCGCCTCTGCTCTGCCACGCTTCCTCGATAAACATCTCCCCAGGCCGGCAGCCCGGCGGGACGGCCGGACCTTCTCCCCGGCCGCGCGGCCGGCGTGGGAAACACGAACCTGCTGACAACGACGGCAAGGGCGAACCGGCCGCCCACCGCGCTGGCAAAATGGCCCTAGCCGACGTGGGCCGGTCGGCGGGCGGCGGGCACGAGACAGTAATGACGCGCCGCCACGCCACGGCCGGCGGCGGCGGCGGCGGCGGCAGGCTGGAGACCTCGCCGGCACGTCCAGTACCGCCGCCGACCGAGCAGCCCCTGACTCTCCAGCGCTGAGGATGACGCTCGCTAGGCCGCGCTCCGTCACCCCCCCCCCCCCAGCCTGCTAGCGTCGGCCGGCAGGCAGCAGCGCCAGGCGAGCCAAACCGAGGTCGTGGCTGAACAACAGCCGGCCGGGGCGACGCGGCGGGGTCGCCCGAGCCACGGGCGACGGGCGGCCACCGGCCAGCGCTCCTTCCCCTCACCCACCGGCACCGCTAATCCGGGCGGGACGGCAGGAGGGGGTGACCCGCCGCAGGGACGGGGGGTGGAGGCGCGACAATGGCCGCCCGCCGGCTGCGCCGCCGCCGCCGGCGCTGGCCTGCTCCCCCGCCGCGCCGAGTCGAGCCGCGCGCTCGCTCAAACAAAGCCCGGCAGTGTGGCAGCGGCCGCCGCCGCCGGGCCCCCGAATCAGGCCAATTTCCGGCGGTGTCGGCTGCCGGCGATAGCGCCGCAGTCGTCCGCTCCCCCGTCGCCCCCGTCGCCGCCTCACGCTCCCCGGCGGCAGACGGTTCGCGGCCTCCGCCCGGGCCGCCGCTATTTAAATCCAGTGGCGGCCGGCGGTTCCATGGCGGCGGCCGGCCACGATGGCGGCGCGCCGCTGTTGCCAGGCGGCCAGCGCCATTTTTAATTGGCCGGGCGGGCGGCGGCAGCGGCGCCGATCGCTGCTGCCACCTGGCGGCGGTGACCTTGACAAGCCGGTCGGCGCGGCACAACACAACAGCGCGCCGCCGCCGGCCGCCGGGAATAGCGCGTGCCGACGGCCGGCCGCCGCGCCGCGCCGGCAGACGTAATTCATTGCAGCGCAGCAGCAGCGGCGGCGGCGGCGAGCACAAAGGCGACCAGGTGACCGACCGCCCGCGCGGCCGGTCGGCGAGACGGCGAGACGGCGGGTCGTCGGCCGGAGCTGCGCAGTGCGCGGGCCCGGCAGAGAAGAGCGCCTCTCAGTCACGCCGCCCCCGCCGGCACGGGAGGCGGCCGCGAGGGGCCGGGCCACCGGGGCCGCGCCATGGCAACGGCCCGCGCCGCGGACAGCGCCGGACCTAAACAAACCGCAAATACCGCACATAAACACGCGGCGTCTGCGAGCCGACGGCGGCGGCGGCGGCGGCGGAGGCGTGATGACGGCCGCGGCAGCCGCCACTGGCCGCTGGCGGCCGCCGCGGCGAGTCGCGGCGGCGCGCGCCAGGTGCGCCACGGCGGCCGGAGCGCCGACTCCGCCCCCTCGCACTCCAAGGTCAGCGGTCGGCGGCCGCAGCCATGACGCCTCCCGAATTTAGCAGGGGCGCTGCCGGCCGGACGGCCGACGGGCGCCGCCGCGGCAGGTGCCGCCCGCTGCTGAGCACGTGGGGAGGGGGCGGGCACACGCCGCGGCGGGGGAGAAGCCGGCCAACGGCGGGGCTCGTCTCCCACGTCTGTGGAAAAAAATGGCTCAGTGCGTCGCCAAGATCAGCGCCAGACAGGGTCGGCGACCTTTGCCCGGATGATGCAGGGTCGGCGACCTTTGCCCCGATGGTCCAGGCCGCTTGTCTGTGGCGCAAGGTCGGGCAACGGCAACGTTACCTACTAACGCGGGGCGGGTGTCATGTGTTTGACCCAAAGGTGAGCTGGAAAGCTTAACCGGACTAGCACGGTGCCTGCCCTCCGTCTCTAATGAGACTCCCACACGCCGAGCAATGAAAGCACTTGTGCAGAGGTTCGGGAAACATAGACAGGCCTGGGAAGCCCATCGGGAATACTGCGACACTCCCCAACCCGCGACGGACTCCCCGGCCTACACTCGGGGCTGTTCACGGCTCGCAGTTGGAGGACGGCTCGAGCTCCGTCGCCGTCGCGTTCCGGTCTGCTGGTGCGTGGAAGTGCGCCGTTTGTCTGCCGTCTCCGCTGTCTGGCGGTGACGGCAGCTTCGCCAGCGTTTGCCGCCTCATCCTCCATGCACGCCCTGACCGCGAGGCCCCCGCGCGGCCACGGCCGCCGCCGCCGCCGCCGCCGCTGCCGCCGCCGCCGCCATCGCCGCCCGACGTGATGGTCCACCGCCATGCGAGTTCGGGGAAGCGAGGCGCCGGCCGGGTCAATTATGGGCCGTGTCGGGGGTACCGGGCTGGCACGCACCGCCGGCGGCGGCGGCGGCGGCGGCGGCGGCGGCGGACGAGACCCAGCGGGGGAGGGGGGGGGGACGGCGATTGGAACAGAGCGGCGGCGGCCGCTGCGCCGCTGGGTGGGCCGCGGCCGGGCTGTTCCGCCTCGGCCCGCGACCACCGGGCCGCGTGACCCGCGGCGGAACAAAGGACCGGGGCCAGACGTCCCCCGGTCCCGTCAGCGGCATCACGCCGCTGCGTCCGAGCTCCGCGCTCCCGTCCGTAGCTGACCAACACCGACGCGTGGCGGCCCCGCCGAGCCGTCCGCACGC